TACCAGATACCCTCTGGTTGCCTTCAAGAGGTAGCTGGACAGATAACTAAAGTCTACCCGTCAGCCGGACTGTGGTTCGTACGTTGGACTACCTGTAGCCAGCAGTAACAGCTTGGTTGATCAGGCCCTGATCCATCGTGAGGCCTGATCAAGGACAGGGCCGCGGGGGCGTTGGCCCCCTGAACACCCTCCAGGCAGAAGACAAGGTTGCCGTGGTCAACGATCTGCTTCTGTAGCTTCTGCTGGTGCTGGTGTTGTAACAACACCGGGGTGTGTTGTTCTTGCTGGTGCTGGTGTTGTAACAACACCAGGGTGTGTTGTTATTGCTGGTGCTGGTGTTGTAACAACACCAGGGTGTGTTGTTATTGCTGGTGCTGGTGTTGTAACAACACCAGGGTGTGTTGTTCTTGCTGGTGCTGGTGTTGTAACAACACCAGGGTGTGTTGTTATTGCTGGTGCTGGTGTTGTAACAACACCAGGGTGTGTTGTTCTTGCTGGTGCTGGTGTTGTAACAACACCAGGGTGTGTTGTTATTGCTGGTGCTGGTGTTGTAACAACACCAGGGTGTGTTGTTATTGCTGGTACTGGTGTTGTAACAACACCAGGGTGTGTTGTTATTGCTGGTGCTGGTGTTGTAACAACACCGGGGTGTGTTACTCTTGCTGGTGCTGGTGTTGTAACAACACCAGGGTGTGTTGTTATTGCTGGTGCTGGTGTTGTAACAACACCAGGGTGTGTTACTCTTGCTGGTGCTGGTGTTGTAACAACACCAGAGTGTGTTGCTCTTGCTGGTGCTGATGTTGTAACAACACCAGGGTGTGTTGTTATTGCTGGTGCTGGTGTTGTAACAACACAAGGGTGTGTTGTTCTTGCTGGTGCTGGTGTTGTAACAACAAAAGGGTATGTTGCTTCTGCTGGTGCTGGTGACATAACAACACTAGGGTGTGTTGCGTCTGCTTCTGCTGGTGCTGGTGATATAACAACACTAGGGTGTGTTGCTTCTGCTGGTGCTGGTGATATAACAACACTAGGGTGTGTTGCTTCTGCTGGTGCTGGTGATATAACAACACTAGGGTGTGTTGCTTCTGCTGGTGCTGGTGATATAACAACACTAGGGTGTGTTGCTTCTGCTGGTGCTGGTGATATAACAACACTAGGGTGTGTTGCTTCTGCTGGTGCTGGTGATATAACAACACTAGGGTGTGTAGCTTCTGCTGATGCTGGTGATATAACAACACTAGGGTGTGTTGCGTCTGCTTCTGCTGGTGCTGGTGATATAACAACACTAGGGTGTGTTGCTTCTGCTGGTGCTGGTGATAAAACAATAATAGGGTGTGTTGCTTCTGCTGGTGCTGGTGATATAACAACACTAGGGTGTGTTGCTTCTGCTGGTGCTGGTGATATAACAAGGCTAGTATGTGTTGCTTCTGCTGGTGCTGGTGATATAACAAGGCTAGGGTGTCTTACTTCTGCTGGTGCTGGAGATATAACAAGACTAGGGTGTGTTGCTTCTGCTGGTGATATAACAACACTAGGGTGTGTAGCTTCTGCTGGTGCTGGTGATATAACAACACTAGGGTGTGTAGCTTCTGCTGGTGCTGGTGATATAACAACACTAGGGTGTGTTGCTTCTGCTGGTGCTGGTGATATAACAAGACTAGGGTGTGTTGCTTCTACTGGTGCTGGTTATATAACAACACTAGGGTGTGTAGCTTCTGCTGGTGCTGGTGATATAACAACACTAGGGTGTGTAGCTTCTGCTGGTGCTGGTGATATAACAACACTAGGGTGTGTAGATTCTGCTGGTGCTGGTGATATAACAACACTAGGGTGTGTTGCTTCTGCTGGTGCTGGTGATATAACAACACTAGGGTGTGTTGCTTCTGCTGGTGCTGGTGATATAACAAGACTAGGGTGTGTTGCTTCTGCTGGTGCTGGTGATATAACAAGACTAGGGTGTGTTGCTTCTGCTGGTGCTGGTGATATAACAAGGCTAGGGTGTGTAACTTCTGCTTGTGCTGGTGATATAACGACACTATTGTGTGTTGCTTCTGCTGGTGCTGGTGATATAACAAGACTAGGGTGTGTTGCTTCTGCTAGTGCTGGTGATATAACAACACTAGGGTGTGTAGCTTCTGCTGGTGCTGGTGATATAACAAGACTAGGGTGTGTTGCTTCTGCTGGTGCTGGTGATATAACAAGGCTAGGGTGTGTTGCTTATGCTGGTGCTGGTGATATAACAACACTAGGGTGTGTTGCTTCTGCTGGTGCTGGTGATATAACAAGGCTAGGGTGTGTTGCTTCTGCAGGTGCTGGTGATATAACAAGGCTAGGGTGTGTTGCTTATGCTGGTGCTGGAGATATAACAAGACTAGGGTGTGTTGCTTCTGCTGGTGCTGGTGATATAACAAGACTAGGGTGTGTTGCTTCTGCTGGTGCTGGTGATATAACAAGGCTAGGGTGTGTTGCTTATGCTGGTGCTGGAGATATAACAACACTAGGGTGTGTTGCTTCTGCTGGTGCTGGTGATATAACAAGACTAGGGTGTGTTGCTTCTGCTGGTGCTGGTGATATAACAAGGCTAGGGTGTGTTGCTTCTGCTGGTGCTGGTGATATAACAAGGCTAGGGTGTGTAACTTCTGCTGGTGCTGGTGATATAACAAGACTAGGGTGTGTAGATTTTGCTTGTGCTGGTGATATAACAACACTAGGGTGTGTAGCTTCTGCTGTTGCTGGTGATATAACAAGACTAGGGTGTGTAGCTTCTGCTGTTGCTGGTGATATAACAACACTAGGGTGTGTAGCTTCTGCTGTTGCTGGTTATATAACAACACTAGGGTGTGTAGCTTCTGCTGGTGCTGGTGATATAAACAACACTAGGGTGTGTAGCTTCTTCTGGTGCTGGTGATATAACAACACTAGGGTGTGTAGCTTCTGCTGTTGCTGGTTATATAACAACACTAGGGTGTGTAGCTTCTGCTGGTGCTGGTGATATAACAACACTAGGGTGTGTAGCTTCTTCTGGTGCTGGTGATATAACAACACTAGGGTGTGTAGCTTCTGCTGGTGCTGGTTATATAACAACACTAGGGTGTGTTGCTTCTACTGGTGCTGGTGATATAACAACACTAGGGTGTGTAGCTTCTGCTGGTGCTGGTGATATAACAAGACTAGGGTGTGTAGCTTCTGCTGTTGCTGGTTATATAACAACACTAGGGTGTGTAGCTTCTGCTGTTGCTGGTTATATAACAACACTAGGGTGTGTAGCTTCTGCTGGTGCTGGTGATATAACAACACTAGGGTGTGTAGCTTCTTCTGGTGCTGGTGATATAACAACACTAGGGTGTGTAGCTTCTGCTGGTGCTGGTTATATAACAACACTAGGGTGTGTTGCTTCTACTGGTGCTGGTGATATAACAACACTAGGGTGTGTAGCTTCTGCTGGTGCTGGTGATATAACAAGACTAGGGTGTGTTGCTTCTGCTGTTGCTGGTGATATAACAACACTATGGTGTGTAGCTTCTGCTGGTGCTGGTGATATAACAACACTAGGGTGTGTAGCTTCTTCTGGTGCTGGTGATATAACAAGACTAGGGTGTGTTGCTTCTGCTGTTGCCGGTGATATAACAACACTATGGTGTGTAGCTTCTGCTGGTGCTGGTGATATAACCACACTAGGGTGTGTGTTGCTTCTGCTGGTGCTGGTGATATAACAACACTAGGGTGTGTTGCTTCTGCTGGTGCTGGTGATATAACAACACTAGGGTGTGTTGCTTCTGCTGGTGCTGGTGATATAACAACACTACGGTGTGTAGCTTCTGCTGGTGCTGGTGATATAACAACACTAGGGTGTGTTGCTTCTGCTGGTGCTGGTGATATAACAACACTAGGGTGTGTTGCTTCTGCTGGTGCTGGTGATATAACAACACTAGGGTGTGTAGCTTCTGCTGGTGCTGGTGATATAACAACACTAGGGTGTGTAGCTTCTGCTGGTGCTGGTGATATAACAACACTAGGGTGTGTAACTTCTGCTGTTGCTGGTGATATAACAAGACTAGGGTGTGTAGCTTCTGCTGTTGCTGGTGATATAACAACACTAGGGTGTGTAGCTTCTGCTGTTGCTGGTTATATAACAACACTAGGGTGTGTAGCTTCTGCTGGTGCTGGTGATATAACAACACTAGGGTGTGTAGCTTCTTCTGGTGCTGGTGATATAACAACACTAGGGTGTGTAGCTTCTGCTGGTGCTGGTTATATAACAACACTAGGGTGTGTTGCTTCTACTGGTGCTGGTGATATAACAACACTAGGGTGTGTAGCTTCTGCTGGTGCTGGTGATATAACAAGACTAGGGTGTGTTGCTTCTGCTGTTGCTGGTGATATAACAACACTATGGTGTGTAGCTTCTGCTGGTGCTGGTGATATAACAACACTAGGGTGTGTAGCTTCTTCTGGTGCTGGTGATATAACAAGACTAGGGTGTGTTGCTTCTGCTGTTGCCGGTGATATAACAACACTATGGTGTGTAGCTTCTGCTGGTGCTGGTGATATAACCACACTAGGGTGTGTTGCTTCTGCTGGTGCTGGTGATATAACAACACTAGGGTGTGTTGCTTCTGCTGGTGCTGGTGATATAACAACACTAGGGTGTGTTGCTTCTGCTGGTGCTGGTGATATAACAACACTACGGTGTGTAGCTTCTGCTGGTGCTGGTGATATAACAACACTAGGGTGTGTTGCTTCTGCTGGTGCTGGTGATATAACAACACTAGGGTGTGTTGCTTCTGCTGGTGCTGGTGATATAACAACACTAGGGTGTGTAGCTTCTGCTGGTGCTGGTGATATAACAACACTAGGGTGTGTAGCTTCTGCTGGTGCTGGTGATATAACAACACTAGGGTGTGTTGCTTCTGCTGTTGCTGGTAAATTAATTGAAAAATAAAGCACGTGCTTTTTTTTTTTTTTTTGCAGCTATTAAAAAGTTTTATTTTCTGTGACAGACTCTGGTGAGGAAGGCAGCCATGCAGCCGTCCTGGTGGAGGGCAGCCCAGGAGATACCACCTGTCTTATCAGTGAGACCATACCTGCCACCCTCAACCGCAAGGCCCTTACCTTCAGGTAGGTTTTCCACGACTTTTCACCTTCACCTAGGTCCTCCAGAACCCCTCACCTTCACCTAGGTCCTCCAGGACCCCCTCCCCTTCACCCAGGTCCTCCAGGACCCCTCACCTTTGCCTAGGTCCTCCAGGACCCCTCACCTTTGCCTAGGTCCTCCAGGACCTCTCATCTTCACCTAGGTCCTCCAGGACCCTTCACCTTCACCTAGGTCCTCCAGGACCCCCTCACTTTCAGGTAGATCCTTCAGGACCCTTCACCTTAAGGTAGGTCATCGAGGACCCTTCACCTTCACCTAGGTCCTTCAAGGCCCTTACATATTCAGGTAAGTCCTCCTGGGCCCCCCCCTCACCTTTAGGTAAGTCCTCCATGGCCCCTCACCTTCAGCTAGGTCATCTAGGGCCCGTCACCTTCAGCTAGGTCCTCTAGGGCCCTTAACCTTCAGCTAGGTCCTCCAGGGGCCCTGGACCACCACAACTAACAGCATAAAACAGGGAAAAATAATTAAATTATTTTTCCAGCCTGATTCTCTGTTGAGCATCTAGTTGGGTAATCAGTCACCAGATGGTGTGCAAGGTTACGACTGGCGTCATCGAACGTTCGTTTAGCTTCCTGACGTCAGCAAATCACATCACCTTCACTTAGGTTTTAACAATGGTGAGTCAAAAGTGTAGAGTGTGTGCTGTCAACTGAAGGAAGATAACGAGTGAGAGACTTTCGTCAGACAGAACAGCTGCTGCTGGCTGACAAGAGTGTGTACACTGTGTTACACTGGTTGTGATGACCTAGTTGAAGGTCACTGCTGCCTGCTGCTGCATCTGCTTCAGGTGTTAGTGCTGCTGCTAGTGTCTACTGGTGCTGCCTGTTGGTGGTGGTGCTACTGCCTGCTGGAGCTGCTGATGGTGCTGCTACTGTCTGCTGATGCTGGTGCTAGTGCTGCTACTGTCTACTGGTGCTGGTGCTGGTGCTAGTGCTGCTACTGTCTGCTGGTGCTGGTGGTGCTGCTGCTGGTGCTGCTACTGTCTGCTGTTGCTGGTGCTAGTGCTGCTACTGTCTGCTGTTGCTGGTGCTAGTGCTGCTACTGTCTGCTGTTGCTGGTGCTAGTGCTGCTACTGTCTGCTGTTGCTGGTGCTAGTGCTGCTACTGTCTGCTGTTGCTGGTGCTAGTGCTGCTACTGTCTGCTGTTGCTGGTGCTAGTGCTGCTACTGTCTGGTGGTGCTGGTGGTGCTGGTGGAGCTGGTGGTGCTGGTGGTGCTGGTGGTGCTGGTGCCCATCTTGTGGAAGCTAGGTTATATCTTAATCGTGGTTTAGTATTTTTATACTGCTCATCGTTGTTCTCTCTCTCTCTCTCTCTCTCTCTCTCTCTCTCTCTCTCTCTCTCTCTCTCTCTCTCTCTCTCTCTCTCTCTCTCTCTCTCTCTCTCTCTGCTCCTTCATTGCAATAAAAACATATAAATAGATGTAATATTACTTACCTACTATCCCTCTCTATAAATAATTCTTGAGGTTCACATCACTTCCTCCTGTCAGGAAAAAGGTTCAATGAACCACTGACATTAACTGTTGATAAGTTCAGTAACTTATCAACACCTAATATTCGGGAAGAAGAGTTCTTTACTGTCTCGGCTTCACCAGCACGACAGTCACAAGTTATTTATAACGGGACTCGAGATCAATTTCCAGTTATTTTATACTGAGTGATCACTGTGTCAGCAGCCAACAGCTCCTGTGATTTATGGGTCTCTCTTACTCCTTTGTTGTGTGTGTGTTGTGTGTGTGTGGTGTTTGTGTGTGTGTGTGTGTGTGTGTGTGTGTGTGTGTGTGTGTGTGTGTGTGTTTGTGTACTCACCTGTTTGTGGCTGCAGGAGTTGAGTCGTAGCTCCTGTCCCCGCCTCTTTGTTGGTCGTTACTAATTTCATTCCCTGCCCCAAAAGCTTTATCTCGTGTGTGTGTGTGTGTGTGTGTACTCACCTATCTGTGGCATCATGGGGTCAACCACGAAAGTCACACAGTATTCTTACCCTAAAACACCCTATCGTACTTACTCGTAAAACTGCGTATAGAATTTGCTTCCACGACTTCTTCATTCAGATCATTCCACTTTCAAATCATCCTGAGACTGAAAAAAATTCCTTTCGATAATAGGTCCAACATTGTATACAGGTCCTGAAGGACTCCTTGTCAAAGTTCCTGAATGCTGTTCCTAAGTTTGAAAAGGCACTCTCCTGCGCAAGGCCGTTGTGCAGCCGGTATGTGACACCAGTGTTATGCTTGGCTTTATACCTATCTGGGGAGGAGGTATACCTCTACTGGTATATATGGTGTTATGTCTACCTCTGGAGGATGTATCCCTCTGGTGTTATGCGTGTGTTATATCTATCTCCGGATTAAGTGTACCTCTGGTGTTGCTTTAGAAGACACGTAAGCAAACACTAGGACATATTTATTAGAAAACGTTTCGGTTTGGGACCTTGATCACTTCAAGGTCCCAGGACCGAAACGTTTTTAATAAATATGTCGTAGTGTTTGCTTACGTGTCTTTCTAAACCAACTTGTCGGTATTTATTACCAAGGTTTATACCACCTCTGGTGTTATGCATGGTCTTATGTCTATTCTGGAAGATTTATACCTATGATGGTATGCATGATATGGAGAATGTATATCTCTGATGTTATGCTCGGTGTTATGTCTACCTCTGGTGAGATGCTCGGTGTTATGTCTACCTCTGGTGAGATGCTCGGTGTTATGTCTACCTCTGGTGAGATGCTCGGTGTTATGTCTACCTCTGGTGAGATGCTCGGTGTTATGTCTACCTCTGGTGAGATGCTCGTGTTTGTCTACCTCTGGTGAGATGCTCGGTGTTATGTCTACCTCTGGTGAGATGATCGGTATTATGTCTACCTCTGGTGAGATGCTCCGTGTTATGTCTACCTCTGGTGAGATGCTCGGTGTTATGTCTACCTCTGGTGAGATGCTCGGTGTTATGTCTACCTCTGGTGAGATGCTCGGTGTTATGTCTACCTCTGGTGAGATACTCGGTGTTATGTCTACCTCTGGTGAGATGCTCGGTGTTATGTCTACCCCTGGTGAGATGCTCGGTGTTATGTCTACCTCTGGTGAGATGCTCGGTGTTATGTCTACCTCTGGTGAGATGCTCGGTGTTATGTCTACCTCTGGTGAGATGCTCGGTGTTATGTCTACCTCTGGTGAGATGCTCGGTGTTATGTATACCTCTGGTGATATGCTCGGTGTTATGTCTACCTCTGGCTGATATCTCAAGTGAGTGTTCAGCAGTAAATTTAACACGTAAAGAGAAGGAGTCTGCTAGTGACTTAAATATATCGAATCACCTTAGAGAAGTGGACTTGCCACGAAGACCAAGACGGTAGAGATGCACCTCTGGCAGGTATGGTGCGTATTTGACCCTCAGCGCACGGAGGGTCGAGCCTGAACCTCACCACTCTGCGTCAAACATCAGTTTAAGCGTACCTTGTTGCTCTTATTCATGGAAATTTTAGAAATAAAACTTGAACGCCCATAAATAAGAGAGAAACAGAGAGAAAGAGAGAGAGAGAGAGAGAGAGGGGAGGGAGGGGGAAAGAGGGGCACACAGCGTCCCTTAGGGATAATTACTCCTCCAACTTTAACTTTTCCCCTCATGAGATGGTTAATCAACCAGATCATTCCCCTCCTCCCTTAATAAATAGGAAGGGAAGGTGGAAGATGAGGATTAGGGGAGGGAGGAGATAGGGTAGGGGGTGGGGAAAGGGGGTGGGAAATGGGTGGGAAAGGGGGTGGGGAAGGGGTACAGGAATGGAGATATTTCACACCTCCGTCGGTAGATTAGTCATATGTTTATGGCAGGCAGAGCAGCAATTGCCGAGATGACAGTCTAATACCTAATACAGTCTCATACAGTCAAGTACCTAATAACCTTCCATCAGTGTTAATTAGTAGCTCATTCACGATTTTTTTTTTTTTTTTGCCAGAGTGACGGCAGTTCGTGTAAGCCCTCCCAGTCTTGGTGACCCAACCAGACACACGGGCTACAGCAGCTCGTGTAAACCCTCCCAGTCTTGCTGACCCAACCAGACACACGGGCTACAGCAGCTCGTGTAAACCTCCCAGTCTTGCTGACCCAACCAGACACACGGGCTACAGCAGCTCGTGTAAACCCTCCCAGTCTTGCTGACCCAACCAGACACACGGGCTACAGTAGCTCGTGTAAACCCTCCCAGTCTTGCTGACCCAACCAGACACACGGGCTACAGTAGCTCGTGTAAACCCTCCCAGTCTTGGTGACCCAACCAGACACACGGGCTACAGTAGCTCGTGTAAACCCTCCCAGTCTTGGTGACCCAACCAGACACACGGGCTACAGCAGCTCGTGTAAACCCTCCCAGTCTTGCTGACCCAACCAGACACACGGGCTACAGTAGCTCGTGTAAACCCTCCAGTCTTGCTGACCAACCAGACACACGGGCTACAGCAGCTCGTGTAAACCCTCCCAGTCTTGCTGACCCAACCAGACACACGGGCTACAGTAGCTCGTGTAAACCCTCCCAGTCTTGCTGACCCAACCAGACACACGGGCTACAGTAGCTCGTGTAAACCCTCCCAGTCTTGGTGACCCAACCAGACACACGGGCTACAGCAGCTCGTGTAAACCCTCCCAGTCTTGCTGACCCAACCAGACACACGGGCTACAGTAGCTCGTGTAAACCCTCCCAGTCTTGGTGACCCAACCAGACACACGGGCTACAGCAGCTCGTGTAAACCCTCCCAGTCTTGGTGACCCAACCCGACACACGGGCTACAGCAGCTCGTGTAAAACCCTCCCAGTCTTGGTGACCCAACCAGACACACGGGCTTCAGCAGCTCGTGTAAACCCTCCCAGTCTTGCTGACCCAACCAGACACACGGGCTACAGTAGCTCGTGTAAACCCTCCCAGTCTTGGTGACCCAACCAGACACACGGGCTACAGCAGCTCGTGTAAACCCTCCCAGTCTTGGTGACCCAACCAGACACACGGGCTACAGCAGCTCGTGTAAACCCTCCCAGTCTTGGTGACCCAACCAACACACGGGCTACAGCAGCTCGTGTAAACCCTCCCAGTCTTGCTGACCCAACCAGACACACGGGCTACAGCAGCTCGTGTAAACCCTCCCAGTCTTGCTGACCCAACCAGACACACGGACTACAGAAGAGGACACACAGAGAAGTTACCCACATGATTGGTGCTTCGCTGAGTTGAAAGTTACAGAAACGAGAGAGAGAGAAAATAAACTCTATAACCTCACGTTGAAAACTAAGGTGCCACGAGTGAAGACAGGTGACAGCTGAAAAAATAAGAATCACCGATAATTACAGGAAGGAACGAATACATGTAGTCGTCAGAGAGCTGGGTAGCAAAGTAGCTTTCTCGCGAGCCCCAGCACCACACATCACTTACCATCCCAGAGGCTAGTGTGGCGAGAGGCAGTAGGGGGCGCTGACGTCTACAACAAGTACTTCCTCTGTAACAAGTACTTCCTCTATAACAAGTACTTCCTCTGTAACAAGTACTTCCTCTGTAACAAGTACCTCCTACAGAGGCAGTAGGGGGCGCTGACGTCTACAACAAGTACTTTCTCTGTAACAAGTACTTCCTCTATAACAAGTACTTCCTCTGTAACAAGTACTTCCTCTGTAACAAGTACTTCCTCTGTAACAAGTACTTCCTCTGTAACAAGTACCTCCTATGTAACAAGTACTTCACTCACGCAAACAACCCACACCAGTCATACATACTTGCTCTCAAATTAATGTCCATACAGGTGAACGTTTTCCCTGGTAGTGATGACTAGCTTAGTATATCAGTGTCAACATGACCTGTGTCCTGATGGACAGATGATATCGAATCTAAGCTGAGGGACTGATTACCTCAAACTTCTTCTCATTTTCCACCTTTCTCTGTATTGGACTGAAGAAGCCTTTGGCTGGAGACACACATTTCCAAAATAAACATTCCCGAATACTGCACAGTTGTCTCATTCTTCACATTATCAAGTTATGGGTTATAGGTGAACCATATGTTAGGCCCATCTAAATTTGGTTAGTTCTAACCCAGTGGAAATAAGTAACAGTTTAACTGTTAAGTTATCCCATGTTAAATATACGTAATGTGCCACAAATGATTGCCTTTCGCATCTGTGGGGCCCGAAATACCATCGTATTAATTTTAGTGTATTTTTTTTAATTAAGTATCACCGCTGCTACTTTGTTGTATATGACAGGTGCACAACAGGAACAAAAACTAAATATGTACCCTTGTCGCCTTCTAACAAGCTGGATGGTGGTAACACGCTGGAATTTGTCAGCCTGAACTGCAAGACTTCAGTAGGACAATGACATATTGTTAAATGTTCTATTATAGGTTCACCTGTTATTATAGGTTCACCTGCTATTGAAGGTTCACCTGCTTCAAATATGTCGTTCCAGCAGAGCTGGAGTTACCGTTACCTGGGAGTTACCATCTGATGGGATAGTGTATCCCTTGCAGAGGAGAAATGTACGTGGGAGTACATTGGAAAGAGAGACAGGAGGACTTAGAAGCCCACACAGAAGCCATGAGCTAAACAGAGCTATCCACATCTAGTGCATAGATTATGGACTATTGTGTATTACATACACACGTTAGAGGCAAGGATAGAAAAGCTGAAGGCTCTGTGTTTGTATAACCTAAATAAAATATTTTAATTTATTATTAATAAGATATATAAATTTCACGATTTTGAGACTGATTATTCGAATAATTGCCCAAAAATATTCTTTGGTGTGGTCTTGTTTGGTAAAGTTATTGTTGCTTGATGAGGTAAGTCTGCCAACTCTGGCTGAAATTCCCGAGGGACAGGCACCGAGGGTAGGCACCGAGGGTAGGCACCGAGGGTAGGCACACTCCCGGGAGAGCGCCACTCATGTTCGTGAAGGGCTCTTGATCCGAGAAACTGTAATTATTTTTCTCTTGGATCAGATCTCATTACCTCCCATTTCACTGATGCTGCGTTATCCATTCAGATCTGATGCATCCCCATTAGCATAATAATAATAATAATAATAATAATAATAATAATAATAATAATAATAATAATAATAATAATAATAATAATAATAATAATAATAGCAACGTGCGTGTTGCAGGTACATCGTGAAGGGTACAAGTCGGTGTCTGTCAGTGGGACAACGACAGCAACGCACTGCCACCACTACCACCACCACTACTTCCACCACTACCACCACTACCACCATCTGGGAGCAGTGCCGTGGCAAGGGTCTTCACTGGCTCTCTGAGTGTGTCACTCTACCGCCCTCACAGCATCCCTACCAGGTAATGAAAAATTAGACACATGTATCTTTATTGGGTGTCTTTACCGTGGCTTCCCCAGTCCAGTACAGAGAAGAATGGTGAAGATCATAAGGACTTTGAGGTGATCAGTCCCTCAACATGGAGTCGATGTAATCAGTCCATCAATTGATGGACTGATTACATCGGCTCCAGGCTGAGGGACTGATTACCTCAAACTCTGTCTGATCTTCACTGTTCTTTGTATTACTGATGAATCCACAGTGTGGCGAAACATTTCCACAATAAGGATACTCAAGTATTGTACACGTATCTAATTTATGAACATGTCGCATCTCTGTACTGTTTATCTACACTACCAAAAAAAATCTGACAACTTACGTCAATATGTATACATCTGACACTCACACCTACGTCAGTATGTATACATGTGACACACTTACATCAGTGTGCGTACAGTTGACACTCTCATCTAAATCAACTCGTTCAGTTCCCCCCCCCCCCAAAAAAAAAAAAACACCAGCACAAACATAATCAACCTCTCTTGCGTCTCCAGAAAACAAGACCAAATTACCTTAGCTTACCCTCGGCGCCGACATCTGGATGTCAAATATTCCTTTAAGTCGGACTCCTCTATTTCAATATTTTCGATTTTTTCGAAGACGTCGAAAACCATCGCGTAAATTTTTTCTAGGGATTTAAAACAAATAAAAAAGTCAACCACAATAATATTTCAAGGGACGGTGGCACAGCGTTTAATTGGGTTTTTTACATCCAGGAAAGTTAGGTTAAAACGCTGCTACTTTGTTTCCACAGTCTCATTTTTGCGATCCACGAACTAAGTTTATTGAATATTTCCATACGCACTCCCATCGAGCAGCGGGTGAGATTTTAAAATATGACTTTTACAGTTATGTGTGACTTTGGTAATGAACAAATGTAATACTTAGTGGTTGGTAATTTGGGGTCACGGTCTTTTGGGGTTTATCCAAGATTCCCACCAGTCCACAGGATCCAAACTTTCGGCCAGTCCGTCAGTACCCAAAGACTTATCAGCCAGTCCATCATGATCCAAACTTACCAGCCGTCCGTCAGGATCCAAATTACCAGCTAGTCCGTAGTGACCCAAGATTTACCAGCCAGTCCCCTGATCCAAACTTATCACCACCGTATGATCAAGATTTTCCGGGCTACCGTCAGTAAACCAAACTTACCACCAGTCCGTCGGGATCCAAACTTCCACCGGGCCATCGTGACCCAAGACTTCCCTCCAGCCCACATGACCCAAGATTTCCACCATCCTCAGGATCCAAAGCTTACCACCAGCCCGTCAGTTAAAGATTTTCGGCCATCCATCATGATCCAAGACTTACCACCATCCCATCGTGATCCAAGATTTACCACCATTCCATCTTGATCCAAGCTTCCCAGCCAGCCCCCTTTGACCCAAGACTTACCACCAGCCATCAGCGACCCAAAACTTACCATCAGCCCATCTTTTGAGCCAAGACTTACCAGCCAGCCCATCAGTGATCCAACACTCACCAGCCGTCCATCATGATCCAAGACTCCCCGCCCCCATCAGGATCCAAGATCACACCAGTCCACATGATCCAAGACCACCACCAGTCCTCAGTACCAAGACTTACCAGCCATCCATCGTGACCCAAGACCACCCCTCCTCAGTGATCCAAGACTTACGCCAGTCCATCAGGGGTCCAGACTCACCCCTCCGTCAGTGACCCAAGACTTACCCCATCCACAGTGATCAAGACTTCCCCCAGTCCTCATGACCCAAAACTTCCAGCCGTCCATCCAGTGATCCAAACTCACCAGCCGTCCATCAGGATCCAAGACTCACCAGCCATCCATCAGTGATTAAAAGCTTACCACCACCATCATGTTTCCAAAGGGATTCCCAGTCAGTCCATCAGTGACCCAAGACCACCACCAGTCCATCTCCCCAAGACTTACCAGCCAGTCCATCATGACCAAGACTTACCAGCCCGCCATCAGGATCCAAGACTTAACCCGCCATCGCGATCCAACTTCCAGCCAGTCCATCAGTACCAAACTCACCGCCACCCATATGATCCAAGTTTACCACCAGTCCATAAGTGATCCAAGATTTAAAACCAGTCACCCATCGTGACCAAAGACTCACCAGCCAGTCCATCATGACCAAGACCACCAGCAGCCTCATGATCAAGCTCCCAGGCATTCATAAATTACCCAAAGACTTACCAGCCATTCCATCAGTGATCCAGACCACCGGGCATCCATAGGATCCAGACCCCCCCAGCAGTCCATCATGATCCAAACTTACCACCAGCCCACATGATCCAAGACCACCGGGCAGTCCATCAGGGATCCAAACTTACCAGCCATCCACATGATCCAAGACTCACCAGGCATCCATCAGTGATCCAAGACTTACCAGCCAGTCCACAGTGCCCCAAGACTTCCCAGCCTCCATCATTTTCCAAGCTTACCAGCCAGTCCATCAGTGACCCAAAAGATTACCTCCAGTCCATCAGTGACCCAAAGACTTACCAGCCAGTCCATCAGTGAAAAAGACTCACCAGGCAGCCCATCATGATCCAAGACTTACCCCCAGCCCACAGTGACCAAAGACTTACCACCAGTCCATCAGTGACCAGCTTACCACCAGTATAGGATCCAAGCCCCCGGGCGTCCATCAGTGTCCAAGCTTACCACCCAGCCATCATGACCAAGACCCCCAGGCATCCATCATGATCCAAGACTTACCTGCACCCCTCATGATCCAAGATTTTACCAGCCACCATCATGATCCAAGACTTTCCCCACCCAGTCCATCGTGATCCAAGACCCCAGGCAGTCCATCAGGGCCAAACTTACCAGCCAGTCCATCATGACCCAAGACTCACCGGGCAGTCCACAGTGATCCAAGCTTACCAGCCATTCCATCAGTACCAAGACTTACCACCGTTCATCAGTGTCCAAGCTTACCACCAGCCACAGTGATCCAAGACTACCAGCCAGTCCATCAGTGATCCAAACTTACCAGCCAGTCATCATGATCCAAGACTTACACCAGTCCATCAGTATCCAAGACTTACCACCCAGTCCATCAGGATCCAAGACTTACCACCATCCATCATGATCCAAGACTTACCAGCCAGTCCATCATGACCCAAAGACTCCCGGCAGTCCATCAGTATCCAAGACTTCCCCAGCCTCCCCAGTGATCCAAGACTCACCGGGGCAGTCCACAGTGATCCAAGACTTACCTCCGTCCATCATGACCAAGACTTACCAGCCAGTCCTCATGATCCAAGACTCCACCCAGCCCATCTGATCCAAGACTAACCAGGCAGTCCTCATGATCCAAGACTTCCCACCATCCATCATGATCCAAGACTCCCCGGGCACCACTGATCCAAGTTACCAGCCAGTCCATCGTGATCCAAGACTCCCCGGGCAGCCTCAGTGATCCAAACTCACCAGGCCGTCCATCAGTGATCCAAGACTTACCAGCCAGTCCATCAGTGATCCAAGACTCACCAGGCAGTCCATCAGTGATCCAAGACTTACCAGCCAGTCCATCAGTGATCCAAGACTTACCAGCCAGTCCATCAGTGATCCAAGACTTACCACCCGTCCACCCAGTGATCCAAGATTTACCAGCCATCCATCAGTATCCAAGATTACCACCATCCATCAGTATCCAAGACTTCCACCAGCCTCATGATCCAAGACTTACCAGCCCGTCCATCGCCTTACAACTCACTGGATCAGTAGCTAAGAGAGCAAATTGAAACTAAAAGCGCCAGACCTCGCTTTAAAACCTCAATTACTTCAATAAACTAATAAATATAAACAATACAAAGACTCTATAAACAAACAAAGCTTATAAACAATAAAAGACTCTAAAACAAAAAAAAGACTCAAAAAAATAAACAAAGACCTATAAACAAACAAAGATCAAACCAATCCCAAAGACTCTATAAACAATACAAAGACTCTATAAGCAATACAAAGACTCTATAAACAATACAAAGACTCTATAACCAATACAAAGACTCTATAAACAATACAAAGACTCTATAAGAATCAAAGACCTATAAACAATACAAAACCTATAAAAAATACAAAGACCTATAAACAATACAAAATCTATAACAATACAAAACTCTAAAAACAATACAAATACCTATAAACATAAAAAAAAGACTTTTTAAACAATACAAAGACTCTATAAACAATACAAAGACTCTATAAACAATACAAAGACTCTATAAACAATACAAAGACTCTATAAACAATACAAAGACTCTATAAACAATACAAAGACTCTATAAACAATACAAAGACTCTAAAGAAATACAAAGACTCTATAAACAATACAAGACTCTATAAACAATACAAAATTTTTCCCAATACAAAGACTCAAAAAAAACAAAAAAAAGATTTATAACAATACAAAGCCTAAAAACCAATAAAAAGATCTAAAGCAATACAAGACTTAAAAAACTACAAAGACTCAAAAAAAATCAAAGACTCTATAAAAAATACAAAGCCCATAAAATAAAAAGACTCTTAAACAATACAAATATCTATAAAAATTAAAGACTCAAAAAACATAAAAAGACTCTAAAGCAATACAAACTCTATAAACAATACAAAGACTCTATAAACAATGCAAAGACTCTATAAACAATACAAAGACTCTATAACCAATACAAAGACTCTATAAACAATACAAAGACTCTATAAGCAATACAAAGACTCTATAAACAATACAAAGACTCTATAAACAATACAAAGACATATAAACAATACAAAGACTCTATAAACAATCAAATACTCTATAAAAAATACAAAGACTCTTAAAACAATACAAAGACCATAAAGGCAGGCGCTCTCACCCAAACCCAAAACTGAACCGTACCACAATTTGTTAAAAAAAGGGAAACAGAAAAAGATTTTTAAAAGCTTTAATTCAAACGCTTTCCCAATTAAACTAATGATACTGGCCCTGT